CATCCATCTTCCCAGGAGCGGGTTCCCGCGAGGTCCGCGGCATCATCTTTCTGTATTCCGCGCTCCGATTTTCGAAATATCCTGAGGAAACTTGAGTCATGGATGCATATTTTCCATATCTGAGTTTGAGTGCTCAATCGCCATCCGGTGACAGCTCCGTTGAGGAACGGACCGACACTCCCGGCAATAAGCGTTTTTATAGTCCAGGGTCTGCGTGCAATGGTCTATAAACTGCGTCTGACACTCCATCCTAACGGAAGTCGTTCTACTTCTCTCATAGGACTATTGTCAGAGCTCTCGTCTCACTTGCTGTTGCCATGATCAAGGACGCGAAAACTTTATTCCAAGTTTTCCGCGAGGCCCCACTTAGCATCTGACAACAGCCTGGCCATCGTGAATAATTGTTCCCTCGAATTCATACGGTGGCTTTCGAGACCACTCAATTTCGCTCTTGCCTCATGCTGGAAGAAACGATTCCGTGATGCTCCCCGTTCCCGTCTCCCCGAAAGAATTTTCTCCTCCCCTCACCACTGACCATCCTCCCCATCGGTCGGGCTCGGCCTTGGGAATTCATCGGTGAAGTGGCGACACTCCGTAGCGATCTGGAAGCAAGTACAGTCCCTGACTGCAATCGTTGGTCATGGGTGATACATATATATAGGTCGACCTTAGAAGGCGGGTGATTCTCTTCCCGAGATTTCTTTCTACAGCAATCGCATTGAGACACCACTCCTCATCGACGAATCACTGCCGATGGGTAGGCGGAAGGCTTTGTGCCGTCGGGATCATTTCGACAAAGTGCTCTCTAGTCACCGTTGGCACCGTAGCAGATTGCATTTGTATCTTCCTTTTCAGCAAACCCACTTCCATGAGCGACGGCTGTCACTGCCGATGACAGTCGGAAGCCCGCCTCGAGCATGTCATTCAGCCGAGTTCGGCGCCATGGGAGAACGAAATTCCGGGGACGCGAGCGTTTCGGCCCAATCGCAGCATGAATATGGGTAAGAAATATATCCGAACTTCCGCCGAGAACTAAGGGAAAAATGGGTCGATCGTGGCACTTCGAGAGTCTCATTTGGCCATGGATTTGTTTGTATTTTTTTCTTCCTTCATTCCTTATTCAGGATCCGTCTCACTAGTAGCTGCGAATACGTGAAAGGATTAGTAATCAGTTACAATTGAATACGAGCTTCTCCATATTATTGTGTCTCCCAGTCCACCATATTATTATTATTATTGGGCATAATTATAGTCGCTCGCCTCCGAACACGACAAGCTCCGGATAACCCGTGCTCATAGCAGCTCCGATCACTCGTTTCCCTCTCGATGTTCAGAGGTACCTTTTCGGCGGTCTGAATTTGATGGGAGTCGAATAAGATCTCCTCGAGCCGATATTTCCCGCTGAACAGTGATCAGTGATGATGGTCTTACCTCAGAAAAATTGGAAAGTCGGTGACCGAGCCGTCTAGTCAGCTGGCGGGATCGTTATCTCTCAAATGGCTCTGAAGTATCAAAGTTCGGTCAGGGACAAGCCCAGAATCGAAAATCGGCTCCGTGAGTCCGGAGGGTCCGGCAAGGATTTGCCTTCTCGGCTCGGAATATTCTCTTATTCCGATTCGACCCGCGAGGGAGCAGTTGAACATCCGCGGAGATGACTCAATAAATCATGTCCACAGCTCCGTTTTCCCCGCACGCAACTTTCCTCGCTCCTCTCGCAAGACGGTATTGCCCGTCCCGGGTTCGCCGCGTACGACTACTGGTCTATCCATGACTCGAGCCTGATAATGCATCGGAAGCACAGTTCTCTCTGGATCGAACGAATCGTGTCCCTATGATCTCTTTTTCTTTCTCCTTGACGATGCAGGGCTCTTCTGCGCAATTTAGTCTCTCGAATATTTACACACTTCAGAGCCCATCCTTCCCAAGACGCCCTCGCCGTGAGGGGATCTTTGATCCAAGAGGTATTTCTCAATACGTCCCCGCTGTGGGATTCGAGCTCAGAAAAGATGTCGGCCCACAGCTAACACTACCGCCGCATGCTAGGGGATCAATTTTTTTTCCTTCGCGAACTACTCGGCAAGCGGAGCGTCTACTTGTTCTCCTTTATTCGACGCTTGGGTAGAAGCAAACTCTGTAAGCAAGACAACGGATCATTCCGGATGACGCCGAAACGCTCGTGCAGATGCTCCTTGATGAAGTCCTTTGGGGATAGAAGGATTCGAACGGCGGTGTCAACGGAATCCGAAAAAAGTTTCCAGCCTATGGTGTGGAGAGCGCCTCAGCATCGACAGGCATCGGAAGAAAACCATTCGTTCTGAAGGACCTCACGGTCGACGTCGGGCATTATGTAACGAGAGGAGGCTGTTTGAAAGAAATCATTTGACGACGCTTTAGCGCCAGCTGGTCCAATAGCGTTGCGCGGGGCGATTCTAACTGAGTTTTGCCAATGACGAGCTTCCGAACGTCGAGCCTCCGCTCCGATCGCACGGGATGGATTTTCACCAGGTTTGATCGGCTGGAAGCTCGATGCGCCCCGGAGGCCATGATGAGCGGGAAAAACAGCAGGAAGAAATCACTCGGTGTAAGGCGCAGACCTTTCCGGCGCGAGATTTTCCGCAGGAACCATTCCGATCGGTAAATCATGGCTTGTCAATGAAACCCTCGAATTCGATTCCCTTTCCTCTGATTGATCTTCTGCGATCGGGGCTCGCGGAACGCATATCGAAACAACCTCTGCCTTGTCAGGAATATGAATTTCCGTCACTTTTTCTCACATGCAAACATCCGATCGACCAGGTGAGAATTTCAGAATGAATATCCTCGTCCGTGAGAGCTCACGTGTGACTGCATTCGGATCGGTCGCGAATTCTGGCGCATCATGAAAACGCTCGGAAAGTAAGGTGCAGACTTGGCGGCAAATAGATAAGACAATGACTCAAGGCGAATCGCCAAAACCACTCTGGATGACAAGTTGGCACCGCGCTGATCGCATTGGAAGACTACAGGGCTATCATCGCGACAGGTTCGCATGACTTCCAAAAAGCAGTCGCAAGAAAATCGCCCGCTTCCCCTTGGAGGAATCGTTGGAGCGTCGAAAACGATTCGCGGGGAAAAACCGCAACTTTTTTCGGTCCTCTCTTCAGAATGAGAAGTACGTCTCTGTTATAATCATGTCATCGGGTCCGGAAGCGCTACAGCGTCACTCTGATGGGAAGAACATCGACTACGATCTCTTCGGGCGCTGACGACAACAGCGAGCGAGTACAGCTCGTTCATCGGTCGACTTTTACCCGACATGTGTGCTGGGTTTTGTCATTAGGATTGGGATATGTCGGGTATTTTATGATTTCTCCCGATTTTTCTCCCATTTGTCCAAGTCTGATCTGAACCTTACTATGCCGACTGTATGTAGAAGCTCGCGTCTCCCGGGCGATATTTTGCACTCCCTCACCCTTTCGATAGCCTGATTTAGGGTGTCGAACATTCTGCCCACGCAGCTTTCCAGCCCGAGGCTGCGGACTCCAAGACTCCCGTGGTCTCGGGACACAGGGGCGAGGTGCGATCGGAGCCACTATGAATACGTCGAGCTCAACGTAGAGAAGTTTCGGTTCCGGGACCCATTTCGAGAATGGCACTGCATATAACTCTCCTGCTTCTCGCGTAGACCGCAGCGATGCGGCACCGTCTATCAATCAGATAACGTCGTCTCTGGTTCACGCTATCGAATCATGCTGACGTCGCACGAGCCGAGGAAAGGCAAGTGACCGCTGACTTGTCAGCATAAACGACTACGCTCTGTTGTCAGCCAGGTTAGGAGCCCTTTCGTTGGAGCCTCCTCGTTCGTTCCCGGGAGACTCTGGGAAGCTCTCAAAAATATTTTCTCTCGATTTTCCCAGAATAAATCTGAGGCTCATCGGAGTTCGATTCGAATCGAGGGAGCCCCTGTAAAGTCTAGGGGCACGCGCCAATCTCTCCACATCTAGCCAGTTATCTGGTTCAATTGGGCATCAGTGATTTCATATCGTTGCTCGCCCTCCCGAGAGCTTCGCGCGCTTTCGCGGTCGCGAACCGCAAGTCAGGGGCTCTGGAGCCGATTTTCTGAGCGGAGGAGAAGTTAATTTCCGATCTGATTGGACGCAATGCGCGCACTCATTATGTAAATCCAAACGTTCATTAATTTCCAAAGCGAGGCCGCAAGCGTACGTCCATTCATTGGCAAGAGGAAGGTTCCGCCAATCATGAGATCCCTTTGATCGAGGTCTCGTCTCCACAAGTCAGTAGCTCGCCCAGATCCGGGAAAAGCTTAATCACACTTCCGAGGAGGGACCCGAAAATACTCCCTCACAGGAAATGCGAGAGCCTGGCAAGGAAACCGATACAGAAAAGTTGCCTGCCGGGACTTTTCATCAAGATTATGACGCTGTCAGGATGTCCGGTGTCTCGCTCAGATTTTCCAAGCTCCTGAACTGTGCAGCCTCGCTGCGGTGTGTACTGCGATATCCAAGCTCTGTTGCAGCAGCCGCACCTGCGAGGAAGGAGCGCATATGCAACACGACGATCGGCATATTGCTTACTATCGATCGTAAGGGAAACTCGACCGTTTCTATTTCAGTCCCGGAATGTTTCCTCTGAGAGGATGGGTTGGGGGGAATGTCCAATCTTTTGAAAATTTTCGCGATCTGGTTCTCGGCGGTGCACATTCCGCTGGACGACGCTCGGGCGATCAGATGATATGCGAATAGAGGCACGATGAATCCGCGGGAATGAATGACTGATTGACTGACTCTAGATGAGAGAATTTGCCGCTCCCAATCGCTCGTAGGCCGATCGCATTGAGCCCGTGAATCTCCCGAGAGTTTTCGATGTGGAAATGTTAATCGGGGAGGCTATCCCCTTCCACACTCGCACTGAATGAAATATCACAGCTCAGGCTCGATTGGAACATCCGCTAGAGCTGGAGCACGAATGGCAGCGGCGAGGAACTTTGCATCGGTACAAACCTGCTATGGGTTTTCGCGTAGTTTACCGGTTCCTTGATGAGAATTTGTTCCTGCATGCTCGGGTCTGTGAACCACACAACGAACAGAACTGCTAAATGAGTGGATGGCATCGTTATCACACTGGGGTATTTCGTTGCCGAAAGACGGAAGTTTCCTTGTGATGCTCATCCGGTTAGTCACACGGAACACAAACCGTAGAGTGTTTTCGCGACGAGCACGCCGTGCTCAGGAGTACGTGCAGCACGGGACCTTTCCCCAACGTCCCTTCTCCTCGCTCCGCCTTTCCAGGAGGAAGCGACATCCGACAGCAGAGATCTCTTCCAAGTTTTTCCCCCAAGCGGGAACTTCATCTTGTAGATTAACTCTCATGGAGCTCAGGCTTCCGCAAAGCGATTGCTGGACCTTCAACCCCCGATGTTTCACTTCGATGCCGAGAGAGAACGATCGGGGTGACAGCGTAAATGATCCTCCCTGTCGCTCGCGTCCAGCGGCAAATGAGTTCATGGGTGAGGTATTCGAGAGAGGGGGCAGCATGTGAACCTTTCACGTTAGCCTCAGACTGAATCCTCGAGCAGCGAATTTCCTTCCAGAGGTCTTCAATCTTGAGCGAGGAGGTACTCGCAATCTATCGCGAAGTTATCGGATCCGGATGAGGAAGATACTCGCGCGCAGTCTACCCATTCCCGTAATTGAGGGATGAGGGGTGGTATGATGCTCAATATCATCAGAAGGCTCCTTTGGTACAAGTTCCAGAGATGAAAATAAATTCTGTTCTCATTAGAGATCATTTCTCGACCTTTGATTCCCTCAGGCATCGGCTGAGGGGGCTGAGGGTCGAGTCATCTCCATATTCGGAATATCGATGCTCTCGCACTGGCACGAGAACGAAAATTGGAAGAAGAATTCATTCTTCGGCCACGATTCTTCTTAATTCAGGACTCCCCAGAGGAATCCATGATGGGGCGATCTCTAGCTCGAAAGCTCGACTAGCGGAGAGCCGAGCTGATTCGACTCGAAGCAGAAGATTCCGTGGGCGGAGTTGTCCCACAAGACATAGCTTCGCGAATTTTCTGTCCGACGGACCCGGGGCGAGTTCGAGGAAAACGGAGCGACCGCATATCATTTGTTCCGAGTGGAGTCGATTCCAAACGTGCCCGACTCGGACGCCTCCGCTCTGAATCCGTGATGCTTTTTTCGCGAGGATGCGACATGCGCGAATTTCGTTCGCAAGTTCTTCGAGGTACGCAAAGCTCATCCCAATGTCACAAAGCCCAGCACATTTGATCCGAGTCCTGGCTGTGACGAAATATAATGGGAAGCAGTGCCGCTTTGAAGCTCGAGCCACTGGCGGCGAGAAACTTTCTCGTGACATGTCGCTCCAAGGGATTTGTGTTTGTCCAACTGGCTCTATAGTCCAGTCAAACGAATGTCTGGGTCCACCTCTCCACAGGTGGCAGAGCTTTTCGAGTTTATCCGCTCCTATGGGAACTTAGTAAGGAGTTCAGGAAAGTAAGGAGCCACTTTGGAGTTCAGGAACAGCATCGCGTAAGAGGAGAAAAAACACGGTACCCCGCGAGCAATGAACTTCCGCAGAGGTAGCAGATAAGGGAAGGAAGATAGACTCCGTCCCACGGTGAGAAGCCGGAATTCTCGAGGTGGTTTCCCGTTCAGAGGACCCTTATCCTGCGACGGGATAGCTGCTCCTCCACCGAGCGTCTGTGGAGGACTCGCCATCGTTCCGGAACTTTCCCAGAACTCAAAACGCTCGTCAACTGAGAAAGCCCATGACTTTTCGTGACAGAAATCATGCGGAAGGCAACCCATGAAGACAATATCTTTCGGAGATATTCAGCGGGAGGAAGCCAAGAAGTTTCTGGAAGAATCAAGGCGGCATACATGAAGAGCTCGATCGTCTCCCCTTTGCCTTCCGGGCTTCGCTCCGGCTCACGATCCGGACGGTGAGGACGATCCGATTGAAAGGAAGCCGTCAGCGGCGTTTCGAGCTATGGTCAAGGTCGAAAATGTCACATCGCAGGAGGGTATGACAAAGACACGAATTTCCAAGAGACGCAAGCTCTTAGTGATGATGGGAAAAATGAGAGGAGTCGATCGTGGCAGCCTCCACAAGATACTCTCGTTGTTCCGCCTCGCAGAAGCCGATTTCTACTTCCGAATCTAGGCGACGCGACGGGAAAAAACATGGGCCGGAGGATCGCTACTCCCACAGGCGTCTTGGGCAAGGATGTGTGGGCTTAGAATTCCTTCGAATGGACGAAGCATGTGCGCGGCGAAGATCTATCGAAGATGATGAGCTCTCTTCTCTGTAGAGATTCATCGTTTGGAGGAATTCCGCACATTTCTCAGACGTTCTTTGGTTGGCGATGGTTCGGTGTGAGCTCCCCTGACCCAGAACTGTAAGCCCGCTTCAACTGGTTCCGGATCTGACAGTCCGAGACAATCGATGTTCTCTCGACCTACGGACGCGGCGATTACCCTCGATCGCCAACGAATCGCTCCTCTTGACCGCCGACCGCGGGTTCGGTCAATGAACGCTATGAAAGCTTAATTTTAGTTTCCAGAGGATTTTTCCCACTCGAATGGGTAATTTTAGTCTCCCAGAGAAATTCATCCCCCCCCTCCGAAGGGTCGATTTGAGTTCTCCAGAAGAATTTTTTTCCCATATGCATTGTTATTACTCTATTGGTGTGATGCGGGATTCGTTCTTCGGGTAATCGATGTGATCGTAGTCTCCCCAGCTTCAGCTCCTTCAAGGGATTCCGATTCCCCTGGAGATCTCTCTGGATCAGACCGACTTCGAGAGCAGAGGTTCGACCGCAATGACTGCGTCGAATTTCGAATCACCGGAAGCGGGTAGCGAGATCGAAAGCAGGAAGGAATGTCTTCGAAGATCTACGCTCCCCCACAATCAGCTCCTGCCGACTTGAATCCCTTCCTACGGCATCTGTCCACGATCCGCCTCGCACAGTATTCGCACCCGATGGGTCGTGCGAAAAGCGCGGCGACATTTGCAGATTAATCGGGATCGCGACGCATGAGGAATCCGAGACAACCTCACGCTCCGAAGCGCCGGCGCGATAGCTTGGTGACAGTGACCATAGCTTCTCTGCTGATCGACCGTGGATTTTCGGGAGCTCAATCATAAAATCATACCCAATGAGTCGTCGTTGCCCGGGAAGATCGCGATTCTAAGAATACTAGTTCCTGCTCGTTCCTTGCGGATTTCCCCCCGCTCTGTGGGTCAGCCCCGTTCCTCCTTATATCCGGCGATATCAGTGAGACTCTGAGCTTGACCTGAGCTGAGCTGATGATCAGACTTCAACCTCGAGGGGAGCCTCCCGGAATTCTGGGGAAAATCTGCGAGGATATATGTAGCTAGCATCCTCAACGAGATCCGGAACCCAAGGTCCGTGCTGTGCCGCAGAGAGAGGAGAGGGGGGAAATTCAATCGCTGATAGCGGCCTCTGTCACACGGATCCAAATCCAAGATGGAACTCGCACAACGAACGGCGCATTTTAACTGAGCGCATTTGTGTCCCGAAGCAGGCTGAACGCCTGTTCGATGGTATCGATCCACAGAACATTAATTCATTTTCTGTTTTCCATCTGAGTTCGGGCCTTAGACCCACCTTATATTAGCCGGAACTAGACTGGGACATTCTCGTGTGTCTCGGAGTCCCATATTCAAACTCCTCCCGGAGTTCTAAGCCCTCCCTTCCAAGACGTAATCCCTGGCAGATCTACATTAGTTTGGCATCCCTCGACCCGTCTGCTGCCTAATCATTTCCTTTCTCGGGTTGATTGGATTCGGAAAATTTCAACGAGGTTCCTACACAGTACTTATACAGTACCGTTGCGCTAACTTGATGAATGCCGCAACGATTCTTCCAATTTCGAGTTCGGTGTGAGAAGTGAGGATCGATCATCATAGAGGATCAAAGGATGGAGAGATACACACATTAGCCGGGAGATCACGGAAGGCCAATGCACAATACCGAATTCAGGCGCAGGGCTGAACGTAGAAATACAAAAACTCGCTGCGAAGTGTCGGACAATGAGAGCTCTCTCCGCTCCTGTGACCAACATTACATAACACTCTCGCCCAGAGTGTAGATTTTTGTTGCGTGCGACTTCGTCCGGTCAGGACATGTGCTTCTGATCTTGTTGATCGGGCTGTGAGCTTGTAAGGCACCTGAGTGTGTTCGCTTCGTCGCCTGTGACCAATACGTTCCGGGCTCTCGACAGAGACGATTTCGTTGAGCTGAATCTGCCAATTACCATAGTGAGTCCTAATTAGAGCATCGGGTGTATTGTGGTCTAAGTAAGGAGTGCGATGCTGCCCTTTCTATGCAATATTCAGGAAGACAAGAGCTCATTTTTAGAGTTCCTAAGTTCCGGACATTTCATATCTATCCAGTCCGCAAGAGCGAAGACCGACGACCATGTCGACGAAAGAATCGCCTCTGATGAGTTACCCTGTCGCCGGACGATGTGGGAAACGCTAGGATAAGAATGTCGCAATCGGATCTATCCTCATTCGAGAGTCGGAAAATCAAAATGTCCGAAATTTAGGAACTCTACTCATTATCATTAGTCAGCATGCATCTTCGAAACCTGCTCTCCGATAGGGAGCATTCAGACACTCGGGTTGATTTGAGACAGCAATAAAATCTGTGCGAACCCCTCCCACGAGGATCGCCGCGTGAAGTTTTTTTTCTCGTGGGTCCATGCCCGGCTCATCGACCTGAGCGATCTGTGAGCTTGTTCTGAGAGGGGTCCGCAGCTGATCGAGACCCCAAATTTTACCCAGTTCAGACTACTTGATGCTTGCCTTCTCCGAAGGCTCGCGACCACTGAAGGGTTGATGCAGTTGTGGACAGATATCTCACTTTCTCTAGAGAACCCTCACCATCAGAAAAAGCCCAGAAGTTCGAATTTCGGCGTTGGAACGAGATGAATGCACTAGGCTTTGACACTTCCAAACAAAGTTTAAATGACCACAGAGAAAGCTTTGCTTCAGCTTCAGCGATCCGCTAGTTTCCCATTGCTCTGCTTATCGATTCAGATGAGACGATCCTGAGCCTTGAGAGACAGGAGAGCTTAGAAGAGGAGATTCCGCCAGTGGTCGACGTTTCCGTGAATTTTGTGTCATTGGAAGAGGTTTCCCTTAAAGTGTAGACGGATGTGAGTTGATACTCCTGACGATCTAGCCCGGGTGAGTGCGATACGAAATGCTTGCGGTCGCTCTGTCTGACTTTCGCGTCAGGTTCTCGATTCAGAGCGGGAAAATCTAGCAGAGTTAAACCTGAGCACAAGCTGAGACAAGATTTCCGTCCCGAGTTCCGCGCTGCGGGAAAAGACGGCCGATTCGGTCCGGGAGACCAGATGAATTTTCCCGGTTCGCGGAGCCTGGATTCTTAGAGCGCTCCGGCACTCATGACTTCCTGCGTGCATGACCGCTCCTAGGTCTTCAGGAGGAAAGTTCATCCCTATTAGCTCCTCGGAGCGGCTCCGCGAAATGGGATGAACGGGTCGGGAATCTCCATGCGAGCGACAATCGACGCGGACATCCGAGCTGTTATATTCTCGATTGTTTGTGTCTCGACGCGGTGAAATCTTCCGGTGGCTTCTGCCTCGGAAGGCGAATTCTGCTCCGAATAGCGGTTTCAGGGAAGCGTAAACACATGCTAATTTGACCTTCAGGAGCTAGTCTGGAGCAGAGTTCCAGTTTCCCAGGGATTCCGCGGAAAACTTCACTTGCCGGCTTCCATAACTTCGATTCTGCCTAGCCAGGATCAGATGCTTACACTGGGAGCTCAGGCGAATCAAAATACAACGTCAAGATGCCGAATCTGCCGATGACCACGAAGAAATCGCAAGAGAAACGCGCGATGCGTAAAGCAAAATTCGTCACCGGAGACCAGTGGGACGGACCTGCATGGATGAAATGGTTCCAAACAATCAATATAAACTTGACATGCGTCTCCCTGGTGAGTTCCCGAACAGCCGTGACTGATGATACTTTTTGCCTGATTCGAATTGATATCGGGACTGACATAGCCTTCCTCCATCAATAATCAGCTGCTCGATGTTTCTCCTCTACTGCACTTCTTATCCGTACATGAGACGAAGCGATTTATGAATAATTGATGCTTGGTCATAACCACCTTGAATCTGAGGAGCTGTCCGCTCAAGCCGATGTCGAGACAGATTTCGCTACGACGATAGACACGCTCCTCATCTTCTGTTGAGGAGTGCACTCAGAAAATTTGATGCTTGGTCGTCAGAGCTCTCCCCGTCAAACCAAGCCGATCTCCGATATTTCTAAGTTATCTTCCCGCGGGGGGTGAACTCATCGATAGTGAAGGTGTCGAACCTCACCGCAGTTGTATTTCGTCGCTCAGGGTCTCATCGTTTCTCTCCTGGGTCCGACGCTCATAGATCTCTCGGAGATTTTCCACACCTCGAAGCAGGAAGCTTCCCAAATCGGAATGGTGACCGATATCGGCTCGATAGTAGGACCATTCCTTGGTAAGGGAAAGTCGATCCTCTGAATACTTCCGAACACAGTCTTTTCTCGGCAAGAAAATGTCTGGGTTCATCAATGACACCTGCGAAAAGAGTCTGTGAATGCTATCTGTGCAGCACTCATGAAGACGATTCAGCGGAATGGTGGCTACACCAGAGATCAATCATGTTCTCTCTGAGTCGTCTCCGATGACAACTTTCTTTTCCGCGCCTTAGATCATTATTTCATTTTCCATAGTCTCACTTAATCCGTTTCGATCATCCACAGCGGGTTTTCTCTTCAAGAGATTCAATGCTCAGCTTGTGTGCATACTCAGCGCATTCGCGATCGGTGCGTCGAACATAGCGATTCCCTTGGGGAATCTCAACTTGGCCTACTTCTTCGGATTCATATCGGGGATCAATCTAGTCATCCTCGAAAATGGTGAGTTCTTTGGCTTCCCCGATACTTCATACCAGGGGTACAGGTGCCATGCCCCTCCCGACTCCTCTGGTCCTTTGTGTTCGAAGATTCGATCTGATTGTTAGTTGAGCGGTTTTATTCTGAAGAGTTTTCACGAGTTGGCATTCTGCACATAACAAAAGCGCTGCACTCAGGGACGTCAAGCGATTTGTTCCGCAGTCTGATTTCGCTGAGCGCCAGGAGGGAATGGAGGAAAGGAAAAGATAATCATGCTACTTCGCACATCATGGAGCGAATCAGTCACGAAATATTCTAGTTCAGCTCCTGAGGTGCAACATCCCGACTACATGCTTACAAATGAGTCGGATGAAATTGTTTGCCGTTGTTGTTCACCGCCGTTTGTCGAAAGCTCGTGATCGACTCGTCAGAAGAGCAGCAGAGCGAATCCAAAGTCAAGATCAGATCCCGGGAGCCGTGCGTGGAAGCGATCGTAATTGGGGAGAGAGGCCAACTCCAACGAGGAGATGCGTCGGTCTCCCATGGATTTGGAACTAATAGCGACAAAATCCGCCTTACGCTCCTGGTTTGCTGCTCGTGTATTGAAGCTTAGGATAGACAAGCGAACTCTTATGGAGAACAAAGTCTCGCATAATGAGCATCCGCCGCGTCTTTACTCCTTCTCAAGAACGTCCGGCCTTTTTTCTACATGCGGGAGAAAATACAGAACGCCGTCGGAAGCGGTGTTCCTCCAGGTGACTTTCTGTGACGATCCCCCAGGAGCCTCGGCGGGCGGCTTGTAAACGACGAACGCTCCCGCGATATGGTTCGGCTAGAAACTTCCGTTCGTAGGAGGCGCGATCGAGAGCACAAGGGCGGCTCGAGTCAGCGATTTAGCATGGAAAAACTCCACGGGCCAAGCCGCGGAATACTGAAACAGAACCAAAAAATAATCATAGCGGTGGATGCGATTTCCCCATGGAATCGCACCGCATAACTCTCGAATACTCGAATAATTCACCGTTTTCGAATACGATGGAAACTCTCCATCGATTCGGCTTACGGAGTTTCTGCAGAATATCGGCACGGTGAACATCGCTGACAGTCGAGATTGAAGTAGGTGAGCGAAGAAAAGGTCCCTCTCAGGGCGATGCCGGAAGAATATATTCGAGCAGAAAAATGGAGGAATATCCGGGAGCATTCTTGCGGTGTTTTTCTCGGTTCCGACCGGATTCCATATCGACGTCAGGAAATCAGAACATGGATCGTTCTAAATTGGAAAAGCCTTGGAGTTTTTACTGGTAAAAATAGTTTAGCTTTCAGGGTTTGTTTCTTCTGTTCAAGAATTCTTAGAACCAGTCATCCATTCACCCCAACAAACGGTGCCAGTAACAATCATCCAAATGAAAGAAACGTCTATTCACGAAGTATTTTCTCTCCCGAATTCATCCGGCGAGACTCCTCCTTCTCACTTTCATTAGTAGCGACTGAGTACTGCCCTCGGACTCCGAAAGTGCGCGTCTAGATCTATCGGGATCCTCGGGGCTTTCGAAACAAGACTCCGTCTATGATTGACAGAAATGCGGCTCACCGGAATGAGTTTTTTTTCCATCAGCCTTTCCTACCGGAGCCGGAACCGCCTACTTTCGCTTTGAAGAAGGCGTTCTCCGAGTCTGGATGTGTCATCCCGTCTTCACTCCTCACGAGCTCAGGATCACGTTTCACGTATTACCGGAATCGTTCATTGACAGTTTTGAAGACCCCAAATTACAGGTTACGATCTTTTTCGGAAATCACCTGTCATCAAATATCAAAGCGTGTCTATTGCGCACTGTATTCATCTATGTTTCCACCGCACGATCTGCACCGATTTCGAAGGATGGACATGAACTCGTGACCCTGCGGGAGTGTTTTCTGCGTCGCCCCGATGGGAAGCCCCTCATCTCATTGATCCCGATGCGCAGATGTCGGTCAGGAGCTGAGAATCATGGCCATGACATTCACGAGGACGGACTTTATGGAAAGCTCCCCAGAAAAGCCTGTCATAAAACCGCGAAGAACTTCGTCGCGATGAATCTCCAACTACGTTCTCCGAAGCTCCACGAAACACGAGATCTGACCGCGCTCAGTGTTAATACAATTCACTTGCATTGAAGAGCAGATCATTTTGTGAAGAAAACCCGAGTTCAGAAGGTTCGGGAGTGAACTCGTCCAGCGAAGGGCGGAAGCGACTTTGGAGCGACAATGGATTGGATGCGTCAAGGGTGGCATGGTCTTGTTACCGAAGTGGGGGCCGCTGTCCCTCGGCGGAGCAGACGTCTAGAAGTCGCCATTATACAAGGTTTTTCCAAGCGTCGACCTGGACTTGAACTCACGCGACCGTAGTCTCTGCGTGCCTTAGTGTGTTGTTCGCGACTGAGCAAACAGGCTCAAAGTTACCTAAGTCGATCCGAGTCGTGTGGTTTGAGTAGAGATCGACGTCTAATTGATTCAGAGCTGTTTGCACGACCGCAAATCTTAGGATTCGAGCTAGAGCGCCGCCCTGCCGCTCGACGCAAGCCCAGATAGAGCTCGAGATTTCCTCATTTGGGGAAGAAGTCGCCGAGTCGAGTCAGAATTATGGGCATTGATTGGTCTATGGCTCATTGACCTTCTTGACAAAATGATATTCACATGCTCAGCCCGAGTCAGAGTACCCTTAGGGTTGGGCCCGGGTTTTCAGCGGATCGACCAGCGGTGCATTCTTCCGGTACCTGGCATAATCATCTGCCCAATACGATAACCGGGAGGAGAGAAGCTCCCCGTGCTTGACGAGGTGCATGAACATTTGATCTTCTTGCAGGAGTCTACGTTTGGCTCGTTGGCCTCTGGAAGGGAGCGCGACCACTTCTCCTGCTGTATTCGCTGATGTTCGGAATCGGCGCTCTGTTCTCGCCTCTGATTGCAAAGCCCTTCCTGAGTCCCGAACGGTTCGTTTGCAGCGTTCACATGCATCAGCTTGTTTCTTCTTTTGGTGCATAGTAAGCGATGCGGTTCTGCCCGTCTCATGCGAGCTGAATTTGCAGGCGATTGATGACCAATGCAACAGGAAGCCATGATTATACAGGAGTAGACGGCAGCAACGAGTCTCAAGTGGTCGTGCCTTTCGCGATCATCGGAAGTTTCGGTGTGGTGGTGGCTTCGCTGATGACGGTTTCGTTCTGCTTCGATTCGAGAGACATCCGACCCGAACGGAACGACCGTCACAAACATTTCAGCATCAGCGAGTGGTTCCTGACGGTTCTGGTTTCCATTTATCATTTGCTGGTGGTGTTCAGCGAGACGGCATTCAGTCGCTTCCTCGTTTTGTACGCTATAGAGGTGAGTATTCCCATGGTGGTTGTGACTTTTCCACTCCGACACGGAGAAACCAAAGCGACAGTCCTCCGGAGCTATTTCCATTCCGATTTCAGATGTACGCGATCCCGAAAGGCGACGCTGCCGTACTCGTCTCATTATTCTGGATCGGGTTCACTGTCGTCCGTGTGATGATAATTCCTCTAACTATGAAGCTGAGATCCGTTTGGATCGTGCTCCTCGGCCAAGTGGTCTTTACTTCCGCCTGCTTCCTGATGTACTCGTTCTCGGGTGACCGCAGGATTTTCTACGCGGGTACTTTCATGTTCGGATTCGGTCTCGGTCCCCTCTACGGCGGATCGCTGACGTGGCTGACTGAACACGTGACCCTTCGGCACGAGTATCTGAGTCTCATCCTTATCATGACGTGCGTCGGTTCGATGATGGCCGTTCCGATCGTTAGCCCGCTGATTGAGAGTCGACCAATTTTCCTGGTGCAGACCCTCAACGTCTCGAGCCTGCTCATGATCATGGTCTTCGCCGCTATGGTTATATCGGCGAAAGTTCTTCACAAGTCGAAGCTCGCGAAAGTTTCCGGAGCCCGGCAAAAGGATGGGGTCGATAATCCGACAGTCCAAGTCGTAGATGAAGCAATAGGCTGAAAAGTGCGGTGCTCGACACTATTCCTTCTAGCGTCCTGATCTGACAGCGGCCCAGAGTCCGTCGGAGGATGATCATGAGGTCTCGCTCATCAGATAGCCCTCGGAATTGAATACGCGCGGAAAATTCAGTCATTGAATCCGAGATTAAGAAAGTGCCGGAAAGGAGTCCTATTCTATCGAGAGTCGCGGTATCAGCTCGTGCTCTACGCGCATCCCGGAGAAAACCGTCGCTCGCTCCATAGACCCGAGATGTGTTCCGGGAAGTTTCAGCGGTATGCGGCGTGGGAGGAGACAAGAAGGCATCTACATTCTTCGTGCGTTAACTTGTATACAAGCAAATACGGAAAAAAGTGAATCCTGCAGAGCTCTACGAGCTCAGCGGAAATATTGCGAGATTATATCTGGAATGTTGGGGAGAAATTATAACCTTCACCTCGGAGCCCGTCTGGATGTATGTATAATATAATCAATGATGCATTGTCAGCAGATCGTATACAGGTATAATAAAAAGTTCAATCGAGGTATGCGTAAGAGTATCGAGATTCCTTCATGAATTTGCAAACAAATTCACCCCCAACCCCAAATCTGCCGCAATGAAGATACTTCGTTTCGAGTAGTGGTGTAAACGCAAAGAGTCTCACGACTCACGAAATCCATGCGCGCCGATCGCACCCCTATCCTCTCCATCGAAACGGCTGAGGACGAGGAGAGAGCGCAGATGAACGGCGCGTCGTTTAAAGTCCGCGGTGTGCAAACAGCTCGTTCGAGCGGGTCGTCGGTTGGCGGCGGGAAGAACGAAGTCGAAATGTGCCGTCGTCTGCGCATGCGCCCGTAAATAACGGCGTCGTCTGCAGGGCACATCATCAGATGTTGTGTTTACACGTGGACGCCCGGTGGAACTGAGCGCTGTACAGCTGACGCTTGCGTGGAACTGAGCGGCCCATTCGCCAAGCGATCCATCTCGTTGGAGCGTCGGAAGACCGATCGTCACAATGGAGTTTTTATACATGATTTTACTCATGCTGATCCCCGGGGGAATAATCGGTGAGTGAATTGCTTCAGTAATGTTGTAGGCTCTTAAGTGGATAGAAAGGCGGCAGTAACATATGATCGAAATTCGTCACTGATGGAGTGGTCGGGATGTCTCTCCATGACAGCCGTGGAATTGAAGAGATGCAGAATTCCCATCCCGGGGCTACGATACGTGAAAGTACCAAATGTATACCGATACGTAGCCTCCGATGCGGAAAGGTCGGAAATAGGTCTCAGTCTCAGACGGAAGGCAGCTTGAGATCATTGTCTCGGAATTCTGAGTCGTTAGCAAGGAGCCAGATTTCCCCAGCGTCAGAGAAATCTATATCGACAGATTCTAACAGGCGTTCCCCTTGACCTAGATTGTGGAAGCTAGAATGAGTACTCGTGATGAGAATCTGCGATCTAGCGAAAGCTCCGTGATTAAGAAATACTCAAATCTCATCTTGCGTGACCTTTTTGACAGCGATACTTGATTTACTAGCACTCGTGAGCTCTTCTATGGATTGATGATACCGCAGATCCATCCGTACCGATGGCGCGACCCATTCCCGCCTCGTTTCGAGCGAGGCTGGAGGCATAGTACTTCATCGAAATTCGTTTTTGAAGGGTTCTTCTCTCTACGGAGCGAGATTCTTCGCTGCTCTAGGTCTGGCAGAAAAAGTGCCAGCAGACCCTCTCTTTTGTCTTGATCTACCGGCTTCATTGTCTGTATCGCCGATCTTTGAGAGCAGGAAGCCCGAGGCACGGCTCGCTTAGAGATCGACCTGGGGACGGGGGACTAGCGAGAAACTGGATATAACGACCCCGCAGAATATTTCGATATTCATCATTAGAATGATGAATATCGCCCGCATCGACCAGATCGAGGTTGATCTGTGGTGTAGATGTGCGGGAGGGAATGCAGCTCTTATCACTTGTCAGCCATGCCGCTAATTATCCCTTTCCTTGCAATCGGGTCTTTCCCGGGTATTTCGGAGTGGCGCTTGACGGCGCGGAGTTCGAAAAAAAAGTCGAAGCTCTCCGACATTTGTCACCTCGTAGAACCAGAGCGGCATGTCTCGTAGCCACGCGAAATATTATCACTGTCCAAGGAACCCTCGACGGGTTTTCTGCGGGGTAGGATTACGTGGAAGCTCGCTTGCGCAGCTGGAGAAACTTTCTGCCGTTTTGTGTCACCTCCCTAGGCAAGCGACCGGAATCGCTGCGGTCGATTCCAGGAGCGTTTTTATCGGGATGGCTTTCTGGATGCTCAAAGCTCATATGCGATGCTTTCAGGTCTCGTCGCTCGGAAACTGCTGCTTCAGTACCACGATAGGGAGCGGAGAGCTGAAGAGAAGCGAGCTCTCCGTCAGCAAAAAAAGGAACAGGAGGCGAGACGTGCTCAACAGCCGAAAAGTCCCAGATCTCGAAAAGCTCAATGAGGGCAACGCATCGAACTCGCCGTCAAACTGATCGACGGACCGATGTTCTTCTAAATTTCATTCCGCGTGCCTTCCTGGAGTTAAGCTGACGGTTGGAGATTCAAAATGCTTGGCAATATGAGCGGCGTGAGTGTCAAGAATGGATGCTCGGCTTGATGAATGTGTACAATAAAATATAGGATCGGCTCGAGCCGCGAATGAATCGCCACCAGTTTTGCAGAAACGATGCGTCTTCACTTGATGAGACTCGGCACGGAACACGGAACTCAATATTCCGCTCGCACCACTCTCGAGCTCCCTTTCCCCGATTCTTCGGGTTAAAGAAAATTATTCTCGTAGCAATCTTCCCATCATTCACTAAACAGTTTATTTTTTCGAAACATACTCGGGAGCCGGACTCGGACTACAGCTTCCCAATAGCGGGATTTTTTTTACAGAATGTACAGAAAGCTTAAATACACATGAGATACACGCAACAGATTTCGTCCCAGATGTCCTCAATTATCGATCAGCCATTAAATTAGGGAACAGCTGCTATATTTTCTCAACCTGTCTCGCCACATACTTTTCACAATTGAAAGTCGTTCATTCAACCCCTCCAGCAGCCCCTTACCATGGAATCTCCGCTTACCTCTACGGAAAGGACTGGATCGGAAGCTCTGCGGACGAGCTCCTACAAGATTAACATCATCAATAAATAGATTCTTCGTTGATCTATTATGTACAAAGAGTTTGGTTGTTCCAACTAGTTCCCTTTCTCTCGAAGCCAACATTTCGTGGAATTCGGGCGTCACCCCCCTTCCTCCATCCCCCGCTTTCGGTAAGCAAACCGCGAAGCTTGCGACAGTATCGATGATCATGATCGCGCTTCATCGTCATTATATAATCTCTGGCAGTTCAATGTTCCTACTTCTAAGAGCACCACAAAGTTCGGGAGGGACAGCGAAGAGGGTCGTGAGGTCAGCGTAACGAGCCGTTCCGTGGCCGCACGCTGTAATAGTCATGATCGTTAGGTGGCGGCCCTGTTTCTCGTGAGGAGCTACACGAGCTCGACCTCGACGGCGGGAAGGGAAGACAGAACCCCGCGGAATTCACAAGGCGGTCCTGGAGATCCTGGTTTCTTCGCATGACTCCCACATCATTCGGGGTGGTGGGCAACGACGAAGACTCAAAATCTTCGTCCGACGACGCCTCCGAAGCGCTCGAGGAATTCCCATCGGACACAGACGGAGACGTCGGGGCGGTCGATTCAGCATCGGCTCTCCCTAGTAATTGGACTATAGCGAACGATTGAGGAGAAACGCGGCACTTGAGTTTTGATAATTCTTCTGGGGAGCATTTAGCGAGCCGAGGTCGCAGAGACGTCAGGTTCGCTTGTATAGATCTTAGTAGGAGAGCCTTTCTAGACGATGGTTCGGAGGTCTCCGACTGCTCGAACGCCGGTCCCTTTCTGGCCGTAGCCTGATCGACGTGAATTCCTGCCGAAGATGTCTGAGTTGACGAGTTGAACTCACAACCGGTGGACTCATCGCGAGCTTCCGCAAGCCCTGCGCCATCTCTCATGGGAGAGTGCAGGGAGCTAGCGCCTGTACCGAATCCCCCTTGGATTCTCGCTCTCTTCGCAGCGTGGTCCGGAGGATCGCTTCCTCCGTAGCTCCTCCTTGACACTTTCGAAACCTTCAACAAACCTGCCGTGGCTAAATATTTCACAAGTTTCTCTGTCTGAGCTTCAGTCAAACCCGGCAGGACACCGATCTCCTGCCGTTCCCTCTCGACAAGGAGGATGACGCGAAGTTTATAATCCGCATAGGCTGCGGGCTCTATTCTGAGATCGGCGCACAACTGGAATGGATGAGGATATCGTTGAAACTCGGGTCGAGACCGCGGCTCGCTACTGTCCCAATCGTCGGAGCTCGATACGTTGTCGACAGGGACCAACCTGGCGCTCCTGTTCACTGAGCAAATCGTGAGATCTCCTCCTCGTCATCGTCGTGCTGCGATTCGCCCTGAAGAATATTTCGCTAGTAAAACGGGATAAACGAGCGGATTTGGATTTCTCTCGTCCTCGACCAGCTCGGCGTCATTCCATTCAATTCATTCTTTCATAGCAGCACAGAAGGCTTCGGGAGCGAACGTACTCTGCCCGAACCAAATGCGTGTCCGTTGAGTCGTTTGAATTGAACCCGCTTCCTATACCGCTTTCGGTCTCTCGAGATGACGGATATTCGTCGACGTCCTTTTCGAGCACTTGAAGTTCCTCCGGCGCAAGTTCCGCACCCTCCACTCCATCCTGAAACATCTGAAGGTGTGGCCGAACAGTCTGAATAGTGACTGCCAGTTCTCAGAATGCCCTCTTCTAGTTCCGCGGCAATTTCCTCCGGGGGACACCCCATCGGTTCCACAGACTCTGAGCGACAAAGATCTGCGCCTAATGGCTGCCAAACAAAAGGAAAGGAAACATCTGTTCAGTGATATACAGAAATGATTTAGGAAGCGAGCGTCGCGAACCCGACTTGAATTAGGGAGCAAATCGACTCGATATCGAGGTAGAGTGAGTCTCTAGTCTTCTTCTTCATTGGAATCCGGAAACTCCACTGTACGTGGAAATCCGGAACGGAGAGACCGGATACAGAAGCCAGAATGAGAAGCTTTGCAATTTCGATAGATCGAGGGGCGGTTTATGGGGTTCGACTTCACGGGGTAGAAACTCCGTCCTCCAGAGAGAATCGGCCGTTTCTGCTCGCTCGGAAATTTCCACATGAAGCAACAATTCATATTATGCGAGAGTTCCATACCTGATCTTTTCCTTGGAGGTGCTTCTCCCGGTGTTGTCTAGCGATTTCAAAGTGGGGCATGGCGTCCAAGCGGGTGACTCCGTGTTTCCGGGCTCGGCACAAATCCCGTATTCGAGCCTTGAGCTCGATCTGACTCGTGAGGTTTTGCAGGAACGAGATGAGTTCGTCGAAGGTCATGTATTGCAAGAAGAGCTTGAGGTTCGAGCAGATTTCAGTTCGGAAACGCGTTTCTCCTTTGTGCAATCTGACACCCTCGCAGCCTGGATAGGCATCTCGGTGTTTGAGGAAGACATGGAGTAGACCGAATTCGGAGGCCACGTTTTTTCGTCGGGCTCGCTCCTGAAGTCTCCGTTGGCATCCATCGATGAGTGCTAACTTCATTCTCCGGTCCAAGTCGTCTTCGCCGTCTTGGAAGACTAACTGGCTGATCTCTTCCTCTGCCTCATTGTCGTATTCTCTGTAAGATGGGGGAGACATGAGCTCGAATGATCCGTGAGGGAGGAAACCTCATCGTGAGCTGTCTTGGAAAGTTGATCGGCAGCGGAGATTGGAGATGCGAGGGGGCTTCGCACCGAGAAACTATTCAAACTGCGGATCTTGATATGCTCTCATACTCACTTATAAAATTCGTCTCTGCTTGGCATATAGTTCATTTCAGCGACTTCGAGGTTCGTCAGTAGCTGAATATTCCTCGCGGTCTGCTTCGGTGAACATTCCGGGATGCCGACGTCCCTGACTATAGCCCGCTCGGAACAGTACCCTCCGGTTTTCCATGAAACGTTTCCTAAGATGGCAATTATGGAGTTAATCCGAAAATTCGCTCTCGTTCCGAGGTGCTCCAAAACGAACGAGCTGAACTCACCTATGTTCCCGTCAACGTAGAAATCGTTGTAGTGCTCTTCCACTTGTTTGGCGGTTTTGCCGGGAACCATCGCGGCAACGTCTGGCCAATTCCCATGGCCGTAACGTTCCATTGCCTGCATCAAGCGATGCTCGTCTATACAAAACCATTGATCTTCTTCTGGACATGTGAACAGTTTGAAGCTCGCCTCGTTCTGCGAATGAAGGGTTCCGTCAAAGCCGTCGACCGGGAGCCGCAATAGATAGTTTCCAACGCAGTATTCAGTGATATCGATGCAGCCTTTACGATTGTGATTCTCTCTGAGCGATCGAAAACTTACCCAAATATCATACGGATGCGTTTTCTTGTGCTTGCCGGGTTCCGCGTGCATGCAGAAACATTCTCCACACAGATGAACCTCCTCGCAATCATTGTGTTTACACGTGAAACGAATTCCGCGAATATCTGTTATGCAGTTGACACACCGGAATATTATCGGTTCTGTCGATTGCGACGTTGACAGGTCTGAAAAAAACATCCAGAGTCATGCACCAATCAAAAATAGCTTCCCATACCCGAAGGTAGGTTCTGAAAGCATGAGATGGCCGCTTTCTCGTCTCTACGACGCAACATGGGAGCCAAACGATGTCTTCAAGTCGACATAGAAGTTCAGTGAAAGCCTCCGACTCCGCGTCACCGTAGGATCGATTCACCGAGCTGACCACAACGTTCAGTCCGTCGACTGCGCATCGGACTCGAATGCTGCTCGGTGACAAAATATAGATGGGGAGAATGTAGATGGGGAAATCTCGCAGACTTGCATTTATTCCGAAGTAATGATTTTAGAGGATCCCCGCACTGTCTCTTCCCGATCCAACTCCTCAGCGGAACCCGACAACTCGTAAGCAGCAATAGCGGCAATGACAATTCTCAAGGGAGCCCACAAAATTCCTTTCCCTGCGTCCGAATATGGAACCTTCATGTATGTTTCCCTTCGCTCAAGATTCTCACGGCTCGGCGAACGATCCTGGCGAACAGAAGCTTTTTTTCGTACGTTCGCGCCATTCCATACACTCCTCCCGCTCCGACAAGCTTGCCCCAGACGATTCGAACGACCTCAGGTCGCGAAAACTCGCTGCCGATCGGCCATTGACCGAGAAGCATCGGGGAACAGTTTCAAGTTTGAGTCGTTGAGGGGCACGCCGGAAGAGTTCTGAGCAATACCTCGACTTTTCGACAAGAATGTCCCGACGGATGATTGTGATAGGAATCGAGCAAGCAGGTCAGCTGAGTTTACGTACCGTCCATCTCGATGTGAAACTTGTCGAGAGGTCCAACTCGAAGTTCGGATGTCCTGTGCGTCTCCGCTTCGGACTGTCTTCGCTTCGAGTGACGATGATCTCTGCTTCTCTGCTTCGACCGCGAATCAAGATGGCGGATGCGGCGATTCAAAGGCCGAATTAGCCGCCGCCATCGTCGGAGAGGCGGAAAGAGGCAGCGGGCGGTAGCCGAGCAGGGTCTACGCCACAAGCCCTACTTGTTTACATTGATGAACGCATTTTTAGCGGGGAGAATTCTGAATCCAGCGGGGCGTGCGACTCGACGAATCGGCGAGTAAGCCCTTCTTGGCGACTTGTACGGATTCCAATGGCGGCCTAATTTAAATTTTCTAAAGTAAAGCCCCGGTAATGAATGAAATAAATGAATAAAATGAAAATTCCGAGTTTATATGCATTTTTGAATGAGTTCTCATGAGCTCCTCCGATCTTATTCGCTCAAGTTTCGGTCGTATTCTGTACGAAGCTTTGTTTTGCCCAAGAGTGCACACCTATCCAGTTCATCTCGCTATCTTGTGATGAGGTATCCATGTTGCGTTGAGTCCGGGTCCGCATCATACAGTCTACTACTCGGTCCAAGAATCTTCTCTTAGATCGATCCCGTCGTCACCCCAGAATAACTCGCCAAAACAGGTAAAGTCACCAAGTCGCCAGCCCCGCTGAACTCAGAATTCTCCCCGCTAGAAATGCATTCATCAATGTAAACACGTTGGGCTTGTGGCGTGCTCCCGCCGAGCAGCTCCCTGAGCGGGAGAACGAGAAACACAGACCTCAGCGGGGGCGCCCGAATTCGAATTAAGTACCAACATATGCCATTCTTGCGGTGTTTCAGCTCTATGAACTACCGAGCACCCCGTTATTGTTTCGTCGGAGCGGGAACCCGTGTAATCGACTATTCTGGGTCGCTCGCTCCGATATCTCTCAGATTGGCCAGGGTTCTCCTTGAGCCTCGACCAGCGGAAAAGCTCAGCAGCAGTGCCCTCGCCCACCATAATATTTATGTTCGGATTGACAGAGAGATGAACAGATGAGAAAATGAGATGAACAGCTGAAGTTCTCATTCCACTCGGACAAACACGCTGCGGCAGATAAGAAGTAGCAACAACTCCACATCGCGGTGACTCGCTAAGAGTTCAGGAAAGCTGAGAAAATGGTGAGGACTTGACTGAGATTCGCTTGCAGTTTTGACCTCGAATATCTAAATTGAAACGTATGATTCGGGAATATCACAGTCGAGTTTTATGCACAGAGCGTCCGTGGAGTCCGATTCATGATTTGTTACCTAGAATGCGTGCCTCGGATGATTTCCTGGTCGGCTCGTCTAGTGGAGCGCATGTTTGACAAAATCTCAACTTCTTCCAGGCGGAACGCAAAGCAACAAATAAATACTATCCCCCGGACTGGGACCCCTCCAAGGGGTCCATCAATACTTATCGTAAGAGCCATCCCTTGCGAGAACGGGCGAAAAAGCTCCATATGGGGATCCTGGTCATTCGCTTCGAGATGCCCTACAATATATGGTGTGAAGGGTGTAAGAATCACATAGGAACCGGTGTGAGGTGGGTCAGAGAAGCGCGCGACAGATCTGAGGATATCGCAAAAATGCCAATCTCAGTCGAACTTCACTGGAGATGTGAAGACGGAGTTCGCTCCCCATGCTTGATGAATCTCATTCATTTCTTCCTTAAGGTACAACGCGGAGAAGAGTAAAGTTGGCATGTACTACACAACACCGGTATACAAATTCAGAATGAAATGCCATCTATGCGATAATCATATAGAAATGCAGACAGACCCAGGGGTGAGTACAAATCGGAATCGATCCGGATCAGAGTGAGGCCTCGAGGATGTCCTGATCAAAGGAATCTTCTCCTTCAGAATCTGGACTACATCATTCTCAGCGGAGCGAGTCGGCAAGAAAGGCGGTGGGATCCGACCGAGAACGGTCAGGTTGTCCCTGAAGGTGAGCTGATGCATACACGCTGGTGCAATTCAGATGTCTGTGTGACGATGTGAATAATCCATACGTGATTAGTAATTCTAGTCATCAACGTTTCTGCACGAATCATTTGATCGATAACGATTTTCAGATAAGAATGTCTCGAAACAATTGGCTTCCGATCCCATGTTCAAATTGGAGCACGCGGGCAAGGATTCGAAGAAGAAACTAGACTTGGAACCCGTCATCGAGAAACTTGAGGATTTCCAGGACCGGTGGAGGGATAATTATTCAATGAACTGTTTGCTCCGGAAGAAATTCAGAGTTAGTTCGGCCTGTCGATACATGCTGAGTATAGATACTGTAACTTCCGCTCGAAGAATATTGCCGGGTCCGAGGTGAGACTGGTAATTTTCTCCAAATTGAGCCTTATACTCCACAGACAGAGAAAAAAAACGACGGGAGATAGAGGCGAAGGACAAGCTCCTGAAATCCAAGGCCGCTCTGAACATCAAGCTCCTGCCCGAGTCAGACCAGGACAGAGAAATCGCGCAGCTTCTGCGGCTCGAGGCGCCAATGAGTAAGTCTAAGGCTTCGTACGAAATTCTTCCCGGGGGACTGACATGTCTAATTGATGATAATAAGTAATCTCCATCTGAGACGATGGAGAAAACAGATGGGGAGGAATGCAGTATTATTCGTTTATTTCCACAGGTTTCGACGAGAGACAGAGAAGGGACCGGCGGGAGCTTATGTCCAAGCCTCTCCTGGGAGCATCCACCAGCTCATCGAACACGTCGGTCGAGCTCAAGAGTAAAATCCTCAACACCAAATCGCCCAGGACCCCGCCGATTTCTGATGGCAGTCGGAAGCTATATCGCGGCCTCGTCAGGAACCTGAATGCACCATCTAGCTCACGGACTTCGTTGAGCGGCGATAGTAAAGACGACGAAATCGAAAGTAATGAGGCTGAAAGCTCCTCTAGACTCATCAGTTTGACCGCCTACTCAGATTCTGAGGGAGATTGACCTCTTGTGCACTATCCATTGTAAATAACGCGGAAGCTCCATAGAATTCAGCTTGCCGAGACTGTTTAATAAATCTGTTACGGAATCCCCATACCGCGTCGGACCGACCGTGAATTTCCTTCGTGCAACACGTAGATCAATTGAAACGCCCGTCGTTTCGAAACCGATTGAACGCAGAACATTGGAATACAGCGAGGGGCAGGCGTTCAAATCATAAAAGGAGAGTTTTCTGGCGAATCTAATTCAAAATTTGGCGCCAGAGCTCTACTCCGCAGCGAAGCAGACGACCAGCGCGTCATCATCGGAGCAATATACCGCTGCTGGGGCTGACATTTTGTCTCTGCTTTGGAAGAGTTGTGTGGTGGTGGTGTTGCGGTGGTACTGTGCCGAAGCCGCTGTGGAACAACTCGCAAGCAGGGTGTCGTGATTCCTGCGGTGCCGCGACTGACCGAAAAGCCGACATCGCGGGCTATCGTCTCCACTGAGAAGTCTTTGAACGCCACTGAAATTTATTTTCGTTCACCCTGTTCTGTTCGCTCGTTGTCTCGTTCGGGTAGTCGGTGATTTCTCAAGCCAGAATGATGGCAGGTCTTCCTCGGAGAATCATCAAGGTACGCGCTTGGAGTGGAGATTCGATGCACGCTGTTAATCGCGTCTTGGGACATGTCCCAGTATATCCTAGAGTTTTTGCATCGCATGACGTCGCTCCTGTGGAGCTCGCTGAATTTGTGAAGCGATCTTTCCGCAACGTGTCTGCTTGCTGTGCTACTTGTGACGAACACGTTGACCCTCCGATAAAGTAGAAGAATACCTAGATCGCATGTACCAGCATCGGGGTCTTGGAGCTTTGAGGGTATCAACTCGAAAATTCCATTTCTGTCCTGTGTCGGGCCGGCTCTCTCTTGATACTGCGACGACTTGTACTCTGGGTCTCACGCATATTATATTTCCGTAAACTTCCGTGACCGCTGTAGTTTAGTTGACAGCACATGTCTCGGTTTCTCCTCGAACTTCGCGTTAAAGGGACTCGAAGTCGGGAATGCCAGCTCTCAGACAGCGGCATATGCGGTCTTTCTCGATATGGTAATTCACCGACGGAAACCTCGATTTTCGCTTTGGTGCAAAACTCCACCCGGCTCATAATTGAGTGCCGTTGAATAGTGCCGTCCCCATATCCTTAAATAAATAGTTCATGAGTTCTCGTAATTCTGGGAATAGGAACGGATTCGGAAGCTCGGTCTGGAAGGTCTGCTTCCTCGTCTCGATGGTCGAGTTGTGGCGATTTCCTTTTCGATGCCTCCTCGGGGAACCATGGTATCCTCGGAGCATTGCATCAACGGATCTGCTAAAGCTGACGATCAACGCCTCCGTCGCGGACGTCTTCGGTCTCCGCGAACTCTTACTTGAGAACAGGAACTCGATACCCGGTCCCTTGCTTTCAAGGTACACAGAGTTGCCTGCTTGGCGGAGAATAGATAGTCAGTGACCATATGACCTCACGGTCTCGTTTTGTATTGGTTGCTAGGATCGATGACGATCGCCATTAATGCATGTAGCGTCGTCCAGTCTAGCTTTGGCTCGGAGGCGACCCGCAAGCCAGGGTCCCGTCTTATGAGCAGCGAATTCGATTAGACTTGCACTTCCCAAAGTAAAATTTGACCCCACGTAAGAGACTCGCCATCGAATCCCGGCAGCTCTTGCACTGACTTCCGAGCTCCTGGATGCACGTTCCGCACTCCCGCCCGCCGTGAGGATATGGGATTCGGGCTCATCTCACGATCCCGTGTGGGCCCTGCATCTTCCGGGGATTCAGGAGAGATACTCATCATCCCAGAGCGTTGATTAGGAAGTTCTCTCTACGTGTATGATCTTGTGAAAGATAAGATCGAGGAATCCCGATATACTTGTTCACACAGCAATTTGCCCAAGGGAGGCCTGATTATTTCATACACCCTTAGCTCAACACGAGTACTTTTTTCCCCTGTAACATCGACGGCCGAAGGAAGTATTTAGAGCTGCCGAGGATTTTCCACGTTCCGGTTCTCTTTCAATTCGACCCTATCGATTCTCCGAGATAAGCTTGGTACCCTGCTGCTTATCGGGGGACGGGATCCATCGAGCCGGTGAGCTTCCTCAGACTTTTAATGCTCGTTCGCTTTCAAAAATTCCAGGAAACCCAGAGGTTGATGCTGGAGCCTGTTCCTGGTATTAGTGCAGTTCCGGACGAAGAAAATGCGCGATACTTCCACGTGGTGGTAGCTGGACCGGAGGAGGTGAGCGTCAGATCATATCCCGACTAAGCATAGAATATCCTCCCTCAGCCTGAGCCCGAAGATGATATCCATTTAATCTTCACCCGGGACAGACTTACAAATCGTCTCTCTTTCCCTCACAGAGTCCTTTCGAGGGCGGAGTGTTCAAACTTGAGCTCTTCCTCCCTGAGGAATATCCGATGTCCGCGCCAAAAGTACGATTCATGACGAAAATTTACCATCCGAACATCGATAAGCTCGGCCGAATCTGTCTGGACATTCTCAAGGACAAGTGGAGTCCAGCGCTACAAATCCGCACCGTGTTACTCTCGATTCAAGCGCTTCTATCTGCGCCGAATCCAGATGATCCTCTCGCCAACGATGTTGCCGAGCAGTGGAAAGTCAACGAAGTCGAAGCCATTAGAACAGGTAATTCGATACGGAGCGTTTGCTTTCGGAACTTCTCGCAATTTGTATACTTCTCTCAGCTCCACAGGTTCCGACCTGGGATGCTCCTTAATAGCAAAATTCTTCATCTTTCCAGCTCGGGAATGGACCCGTTTGTACGCAATGGCCGATTAACCCACATTTTAGGAAATTCAAAATGAAGGACGAACGTGATGATACTGGGGCAGAGGGTTTCCTTTCAATTTCCTGAAACTCCCGATAAAGATGTACGAGGTTTCCCGTCCTAGCGGGCCAATCGAACCAATCGCCGAGAGCGAGAACGATGAGAGACGAAACATGTTGAGATTCACTTGTCCATCTGAGCGCTCACTCGGGTGTATATAATTATTGACTTATGCATATAGATCCACCTTAAGCAATGTCGAAAGTTGTACACGTTCAACGACTACATCAACGACCGCGAGCCAGCGATGGCACCAAGCGAGCGAGCGAGTGAGAGACAGGAGAAGAACAACTTAGGTCAAACGAAAACCAAAACAGAGGATGGCTAATCATTGAAATTTAGAGAATTTATATCAAACGTATATATATTCTGCATAAAAGGTTGAAATGAATGCCGTGAAGTCTCACCCCGAGCGATGCTTGAGGGGAACATAACGAGAGGCGAAGGGCTGATCGACTTTTCTATTTTGAAACCGTCGTCGGTTCATTGGGATGGGCTGTGCCAGTCGACGGGATAGACGGTGCGAGAAGAGCCCGGGTCTTAAGATTGTCTCGGATAAGTTGACGCTTCAACTCGTTGGGCATCGTTCCCGGAATTCGCGGGGCGAAAAGTGCGAAAATCAATCCTCTCACTCAGTAAACGAGAGCGGAAAAACTGAACTCGTCGCATCGCTCATCACGGTCGACCGATGCACCGCTTAGAGATTCTTCCGCACTGGGCTGGGTTGACAGATAGATTATTCCATCAACGACTGACGATTTCGGGGATTAAAACATATAAGTGTACAGATAAGTGATTGAATAAAAAATATAATTCACAGGTTGTTTCGAAACTGAGCGTTATCTCGACCTATAGATGAAATCTCCAGCGAAAAACATGGGAGCAGCCATCCTGGTCAGCGCTCCTCAGCTCGGTCAACTGTAGCGGGATTTCCATTGGTTCGACCTTCCTGATGTGTCCGAGTAAGTCGGCATGTGTTATCGCCTTCTCAGATCTGATCCAGGGGAATCTGATTTCGATTCCAAGACCACGGGACCATGTTGTCAGCACCTCTGATTTGACTCTCACTGTGGGCTCCGACGCCAAGACTTCTGAGGGACACGTGGACTTGAATGTCAGGGGAATCACGCCGGGAACCGAATCTTCAGTACTCGACCCTTGGAGATCCATCTCTCTATCGGGAGCTCAGCGTCAATTCTGGAATAGAGAACTAGAGGTCTATCGCGACTCGGTCGACGAAATGGGAGCCCTGCGACGCAGTCTCGAGGAGCTCCGGAGTGGAAACAATGCCGTCGATGACTGTGACCCACGTGAGATCCCGACCCATGCCACGGAATCGCTAATACGGGCTCTCTGCCGAACATCACCAGGCTTGTCGGCTCTTCGATGGATTAGAGAAGAGCGACTTACCGGCATGAATCAAGCCGACGAAACATAGCAACAGCGAGGCTATCCATTTACATTCGTGGCAGAGCTAGACTTATCGTGTCGAATTCGAGAAGCAAAGGATACCTACCCCGATGAGTAACGGTTTTCGATTCCGTTTACATAGGGCTCGCTCGCTATGCAGGTTATTTACCCGGAACGGAAACTTCTTTCACCGCAAAGATCCCAGAGCTAGGTCGAGCGGCTGACTCTCTTGAATCGGCTGTACGCGGAGTGCGCTGTCTGATGTCTCACCGTGATGATGCTCCGGAGGCTAACAGTGGGACTGCTAAGCGAAATTCCGAAACACACATGCAATCTGTTCGGGAGTTGGGTTGACGCTCTGCGACTTGCGACGGGTCCTCACCGGTCTGGGTCCGAACAGCTCATTTCGTGAATTTCCTCTCGCGGCTTGAAGCCTTTGCTCTACTATCTCGAGAATTCTTCCTCGGAGAATTCCCGATTTCGCTCAGCCGCGGGAGGGTTTCACTCTGGAGTCATGACGTGGATCATCGAATGGATATTGTCCAGGGCTTATTCTAAATAACATCCTTTTCACTCTGTATGAGAGGGTAAACATGGTAAGCATGGAATCCGCGTCCGATAGTCGCGGTTCGGCATCCGGTCCCGTTGTAAGGGTAGGTATTATGGATTCTGCGACCGCCTTCGTCGGGATAGTCGGACGAACTACCTAAGTTCGGGGAACCCATTTTCGGAGATCAGAGTGAATGGCCGGAGGAAAGACGAGGCGCCCCAGCAATCTCATGCCGAATATTGTGCACGTCTTGCGCTGGATTTCAGGACGCCGAGATCCAGGCAGCGGGAAATTTCGAGAGTCGAAAACCAGAAATGCCGGAAGGCATCCGAGTTGAAACGCAGGACGCCGGAAAACGAGCTACTGCAAAGGTTGCCCGGACGCTTGGCGGCGAGTCCTCTCACGGGTGGCAAGGCTCCCGAAAGCCCTCTCGGCTGATTGGAATCGAATGAAACATGGATGATCGGAGCTCTGGAATCAATCTGCCATCGGGAAGGACGGTCTGAATGCGAGTTTTTATCGAGGCTGTTTCTGTGTCCTCCGCCGAACGGCATTCTCTTGGTCGGGTCCGAATTGCTGGAGTACCGTCGTGCGGTGTGTCGAAACGTAGAGAAAGTACCTGGAGGCGAGCCCTTCTCGACTGTCAATCAGCTGTGAAACTTGGCTGTTTGCCTCGAGAAACGCATCATCCTCACTCGGGCGTTCAGATTTCCTTGCGATTAGTCGAACCACATTGACAACGAGGGGAGCTCATGGGTGCTCATGTTCCGAAGCTCATGGTTCTTCTGATAGTCCCATCATCTACCCTTGACTGCAATAAAGAATCGGGGGAGCCCCCTTCGAGACGCCCGTACGTTCCGGCGGGAACATCTCACAACAGACATTCCAATGGCAGTAGGCACACATGGCTCAAGGAGAGATATCCATTGTTTGAGGTAGATGAGAAGGCCGACGAGAATTCTTACTGTCGGTGACTCCGCCAAAGGCTCGGAGTTTGTCGGGAGATGACAATACTGATGAAGATAGAACCTACGATAATAATCTGATCTTTTCATTGCGACCTCTCCTCCCCGCACAAGTGCTCCTTGCCACCAGTCATGATTACTAGCGTAGAGCTACGCGAGAGCTCCAAGTTTTGCCGCGCTACGGCGCGAGAATATCGGTACTTTTTCGGGCAATGAAAATGTTGAAGGTGATTCCACCTTCATGTGCGTCAACCCATCATGTGTAGCTTGCAGTGGGGCATGGTTTGTGCTCCGGCTCTTGTTTGATCTCCGGACAATCCATGCAGATGCAGGCCGAATAATGGGCTCCATCGACTTCAGCGCCGGGGCGACAGCTTCAAAACGCTTAAATGTAGAAGCAAGAAATGCTCAGCGTGAGACGATTTCTCGGAATGGAGTGTCCTTCGACTCACAGGCGAATCATTTCGAGAGATACGGCCACCATCTTGGAAACTTGCGCCTTTCCCCCTCCCTAAAGATAGAGTCGAGCCCTCCGGGAACGTACGCCCCTGCATGAGGGACATGCATACATAGAAGCCATCGATTGACCCAGAGAAACGGTGCGCGGAAAGATATCTCTATATGAATGTGCATAATGCATTCCTTGCTCTGCGAAAAACCGGGAAGAAACGCGTCGTTCTACGACCTGGAATCGCCGTGATTACGAACTCGTGTTTTTCGGTGTTTCTTTTCTCTATTTTCCGGATACCGAATCTAGCTGTGTCAGCAGAACGGCTCTCGCAGTCACCCTCCTGAGCACCGGCACTTATCAATGGAGGAGCTCTCTCGCGCATGAGACACGCTTCGTCACTCAAGCTGGAGAAGAAGTCAAAAGAATTCGATTTCAGAGTCTCTCGTAGCCGCCGCGAATATCTTGCGGAATATTACCGATGAGCCTGGAGCTCTCCGTAGCTGTAGATCGGAGATCTCAGCTCGAGACCCCCTAAGCTCTAAGGGACCTATCATTTTTCGTCTCTCGAGATTCCTCGGAGAAGAATCGAAAATATCCATGGAAACATTCCATGGGTCATTCGATGCCATCGAGCGACGTTGAGTCTTACCAGGGGCCAAGGATTCCCCGGGAACGCCACTCGAACTTCTTCAGGGCTCGGCGATCTCGGACTATGTCGCGCGCTCGATACCCATCAATTTGTTATTTCATGTCTTCAGTCATTATTTCTTAAATATTCATCTCACGGTAGCTCTCGCCTGATTGTTTGTCAACCCCCATATGTCCTCGGAAAGCTCTGCGAAACATTCTCCAGAGCCAGTTTCGAAGGGTGTCTCGCGGCTCGTATGTGGCCTTGAGAAGTCTATAGTCCGTCGAGGTCTCTGGTGTGAGAAATACCTGAAATATCCTTTTGAAAACTCCGATTCCGAGTTGAAGCTCCTGCGTCGGAAGTTTAGTACGCGAATTTGATGGCCCAGCTGCCGGCACGTTGGATCGTTTTGGCGCTGGAGGGAACATGGAGCCCCCGCACCCGAATCGAATTTCCCGAATACTCAAGGCGACACACGATCGCTCGTGCCAGTGACCTTGAAACGAAAAAGCCAAGCTGTCGTCTCATCCTCGTATGTTCAAGAATCTCCCAAGGCTTGAACACAGACAATGGTGCTCGTCCGGAATCCAGGTAGACGCGTTGATCACAGATGAGCATTCCGGAGTCACGGGAGCACGAGTCGATCTCTACCGACCGTACGCCGGAGGGTCGCTGCCTAAAGCGTTTTCTCACGGCCTGTCTCTCGTATGGGAGGACTGCCCTCATGGATTCAAAGAATGCTCAGAGAACGTTTGAATGGGCGACGCTCGATGTACATCATTCTCAGCCCGACGCCGGAGGAGAATTATTCTACTTTATCGTGGCGCCTCGGAATCTGGGAATTTCGGGTATCGGTACGGTCGCAGGTCTGTGCGCGATTGTCTTACGACCACGGGTACCACCCCCCTTTCTTCCTCCGTAGGGGCTTCCTTCCATTCTGGATCAACCTACGACTAACCAAGCTCGTCCCCGTGTCTGATCTGCTCATCTGCCGAGTTCTAAAAAAAACCGTGGCGAGTTCATCCGAGATGGGAAATCCTAAAAGACTTTGCGAGAGCATCAAGGGAAGCGTATTCGCTTCGCTTCCCCTAGCTTGAGATTGCTCGGATATTTTCAAGGGATCTCCGGACGACTGTCGGATCGCGGGGGGATAACCGAGCTTTTTGACGAAGTTCACGAAGGAGGAAAGAGCTTTCTGGAGAGCGTTTCCAGATCATCTCCTGATTCCTAGGAGTTTGTTGAGAGCCGCGTCGGCTCCTCGAGGGTCAGATGTTCTTTAGCGGAAATACGCGGAATTCTGGGTTGCGGAAATACGGTCAGAAGAACGACGGCCCACAGCGTGGGTGTTAGAGCAACCCAATGGATGTCGGCGAGTGTTCCACGCATGCAGTGGAATTTTGGATCGGAGGCTTTCAGCGGGTCGTATCCGACCCTCTAAGCGCCCGATGCTGTCTAACAAGACGGCGAATGTGCTGCTTGCTCCGCTTGCCTCCGAGGACTTACGAGATAACGGTCCGGAGTTCCACAGCGACGGGGAATGTTCTGCAAGGAGCCTCCGTCCCGACGAAAAAAGAATAGGCAAGGCTGTAGCCTTCGCGGGAACGGACCAGCTGCTCTCTGACATGCAGGAGTGATCCTTGTAATCAAGAGAAGACGGAAGAGGTATTCATTTCAGGAGACAGAACTCAAGTCTTCGGTGGAGAGATCGCAGCTAAGCCCAGATATGGCCTCGAGATCCTCGGTAGGTCATAAATATGTGTCTACATTCTGGTGATCCCGGCGGGCATGCCTTTTCTCCGCGGCAGTAATCCAGAATTCCGAGCAATGTTGATTGTGAAGAAAGTTGTCTGGAAGGCAATTGCGTCTGATCCCCCAGCGGATAAGGGATCCTGGGATTGGCCTGCCGTGAGTAATTCCGTGGTCTCGATTCGGTATCCGGGAAACGCTGATTCGAGCGTTCCAGGAAGGCTAGGAGAGATTTTCCCTTCTATTCCCTATCCCGTCGACTTGCGTGGGAGACCGAGCCTCTGTCGCGGGACCTAGATGCAGGAGCCCGATCAGCGACCGTCCGAGAGGTCTGATCCGACGTTTGACCGAGGAAAATGGCAAGCATGGGGTCCGTGAGGGATATCTCGCCCACGGTATGCGCAAGGTAAGCGGAGGGTGGGCGAGGAAAAGCCGAGCGTCGATTCAAATCTAGCGAGACACTTCACAACGAACCGTCAGTTGGAGGTGTGCGGGATTGCATGCGATCAGCACACCGAAACTCGCCTGTCCTGCGCTTGGAATATCTTCAAAGCAAAAACTCTGTGGAATGCGGTCAATCGATTTTCGACCGGGACTGAGGGGACTATCAAATGAATCAGTAGTCCTCGACGTCTGAGGGTATGGAACTTCAGACGGAAGGAGTATTCATCTGGTGCTCAGGAATGGCGTTGCCTCTTTCCGTTATGTGGGACCGATCAATCGCCTCTGTCGGATGGCTGATGGAAGATCTGTTCGGATCACATCACTCGCTTGCCTAGTGGACGAAACGATTCCCCCTCGAGCTGGAATCACTGTCTCTGAGAGCCACTTCTCGACTCTTCTAGGAAGTTACAACACTCTTTTGTCCTTCCGTCACGTTCGTTTGGGGAGTGAGTGCAATAGCACACAGCTTACTCAGCAGCTTCTCCACATCGTAATGGACCTATCCGGCCGAGTCGCGAAACAACGGGAAGTAAGAGGGGATAGGCTTGCACGGAACTTCCGCATTGCGCAAAGTCCGACAGCCCGTCGTTTCCGCAGTCTATGTTCCAAGTTTTTCTGCGTCTTCTCTGTCTCAGTTAAGCCGAGACGGTCTCCGCTCGGAGCGGGAGAATGCAATCGACCGGATTCGTGCATTATAAATATTGTAAGATGCATCCGTTCTTCACCCGAAGAGTCTAGAATATAGCTCCGACTCCGAAATTATCCGCGATCCATTTTCCGCCTCGGCCATCGAATATCTCCGCAGGAAGTTTAGCGAGGGGGCGTTTTCAACACTCGGCGCTACATGGGTCCACCGGGAGAAGATCGATCAAGGACGCTCCTGCAGGCCGCAAAAAGGCTTGATAGTCTCTGCTTCATGCTGAATCTGTGAGAGCGGAAATCGACGGAAGAATGAACACATTAATCAATGTGTCGGAAACGACGCCCTCGACTGCACCCGCAGCCAGGCAGGCATGCTCCTACATATGCGATATGATTGAAGCACAATGAACGATTCCGCAGCGTCCTCATAGCTGGAAAAGTTTTACGTAGCGAACTTTCCTATGAGTCAGACCGCGGACCCGATGCCAAAGTCAGAAACCTCTCATGGTCAGCAGGAAGCAAGAGGAGGTCGATGCAGCGGAAGCCGTCCGGGTCACAGATACGGCGAAAAAGCTCGTTGCGCTCAGATCGAGGCGGTGGGACGCCGTCGTGTCTCAATCATTAGGAAACAGCGGCGATAAGATTCCTCGTTCTAAATCCGTGAGTGTCCGACTGCGGAGAAAAAATGCCAAATCTACCACTACGGAGCGTGAGTTCAAGGTCGAGCATTCATGAGAACTCCGGCTCGTCGACAGAGGAGGGTTCCACGGAACAACAAGGAAGTCTTTGCGTTCTTTGTTTATGGACCACCACCGTCTCTGTCATCAGCTATCTCGAAAAGACCCGAGCAGCTGTTATCTCGTTGTTCTCGAGTGTTCTTCTCAAGGCCATCAGTATAATGCTCAGACGTGTCAAACGAACTACATTGCTATCTGCCATAAGAAGAACAAATGCTCTGGATACAACACTTGCTAGGAAGAGCTCACGGGGCAAGGTCGTTGAGAGTCGAAAACGCAGCAACATCTGTCGCGGCGGCGGAATAATCCTGACTTCTGAGTGCCGGTGAACTCCTCCGATAGAGACGTCGGCGTATCGCTTCGCCGAACTTCTAACCGCTTCCTGTGGCATGCGACGCCGATTCTCCGGACTCTGAGCTAGGAGAGCTTCACAGGTTCGCTTCCTCGACTCGTTCGCGCGGAATCAAACCATTACCGTACGACCGAGGGAGCCGGACCTCTGACCGGAGCCCAGACTTGTTCGCCTCCGATCGAGCGTGAGAACTCCGGACGAGTCGACGCTCACGATTGTTTCCGGTCTCCATGAAGCGAAATTCCAAATTGAGAGAGCGTACGAGATGACTCAGTGAGAATGTGGTAGCCGCGCCCGCGGTAAACATGTCCCCGCTGTAAATCGACTTCGGTGCCATGACCCGTTCCGCGTGGGTCGGATAAACATTTTTTTATTGGATATCGAAACGGGCGAGAGCAGGCCCGAGATGCCTGGCGCTGATCAAAACATCGAGGTAACTATCTGTCACCGGGATCGGCTCATGGAGTCGATGCTCACCTGCAAGTGGGGAGAGTTACCCGGTACAAACCTCCAGGCCTCTCAGCACCACCACCGGATTCCATTCCGTGGGGGCTGGCCACGAGGAGCCTCGTCTCCATCTCGGCTCAGATTCAGAGAGGATCCGTTCGAACTCGTCGTGCGACCCGGAAACCGCCAAGATTCTCCCAACGCTCGTCCCGCAATTGAGCTCCTCGCGGCGACCTTAATAACATATGCTAAGCTTTTGTGTCAAGCATGTATATTTACTTTGAATGTGGAGAGCGAACGTTCCATTACTTCTAGACTCTCGGTTGACCCTTTCCAGATCCCTCCTCCCGGACCCTTCCTCATAGAGCCCCACGGTCTTCGATTCAGTCTAAATCGGGCGCCGAGCGCGCACGGTTCCCTGCGTTGCTCGTGAGCTTGATTTTTCGTTGACAGTTTTCCTGGAATTCCCAGCTTCTCACGCGGGTAAATGATGCTTTGGCGAGGTACCTGACCGCCAGCACTAGACCGTGCTGCGTGCTCATTCAGGAAAAAGACGGCCGTAAATAAAGAATCAAGTGTTCTTCACGTGTTGCTTCATCGATGCCCTGAGGAGGAGGAGGATGAGCCTCGCGATGGAAATGGATTCCGATGAGTGATTCTGAGGGCTTCGATGGAAAGTGTGATGTGATTCGAGGAAAATGGCGCTGCTGAGAATTTTCCCGCCCTTCTGGGTGTGGATCGCGCTTCCGGTCAGCGGGAAGCCGATGACATATCCGCTAAACAGGATTCTCTTGGCCGGTTCCGAAACGACAACCTATCCGCAAATTCCGAATTCAACGGTGTACACAATATTCGACGAAGTGACGACATACCCTTACGAAGTGGATACGCTAATATCGTGGCAGCAAGTCAACTCAAGTACTCAAGATGAGCTCTGGAATTCTTCTGAGAGCCTCAGCACCGGTCAGCCCGGTTCTGAGGACTGGGAATTAGTCTCAAGCACGGCTGGTGGAACGAGTACTTTCCAGCAAGTGGTTCTCGGTGTCGCCCTCTACGCTTTGAGCTTTCTGACGCTGGCTGGCAACACCATGGTTCTACATGCCATTCGGACAGAAAGACGTCTTCAAACGGTGAGTGAGTAGGTGTGAATGTGCCACGTATCACCATGGGACACTAATCGGTCAGAATGAAGCAAGGACTTTACCCGTCCGATGAACGAGGAAGAGCGGGGGCAGCGCCATTGTACAGCGTCCTGAAAATGCGTCCCGGAGAAGGTTTCGTCTAAGAAATCATCTGATGATATTTCCGTCGGAATAAGCCCGAATTTCGGATTTTCGCGAGCTCTAAAAACTCAATTCCCGGGCATGCATCACCTCTCCTCAGTGTTGCTCCACATCCCTCGGAGGGATGAAAGACGTCAGATGGCTTTTGAAATTTGACACACCTTGTCAAAACCTCTCATGAACACTGCCGGCGTCGAATTTATTTCTGGAGCCTCGACGACAAGTTCCATGAATAGTCCGTCGGAATTCTCGACGACGTGAAAAGGTTTCTTCACGTATTGATTGGCAACCGTAGTTGTTCGCAACAGGACTCGGTGCGAAACTCGCTCGTACCCCTCCCTTCTTCGCAAACATAGCCGTCGAACTCGACTCGTGAGCCGGTTGCGGAGATATGCGTAGATAGATGGCCCGTCAGAAGCAAGAGGAACAGGCATCGAGGGGAAGTACTCCTTCCCTACTCCCCGGCCCTAAAATCTTGTTCTATACCGAAGTTCGTAATGCACGGACCCGGCTGAGCATTCGCCCGAGACTAGGCGAATTCCAACGACAGGGCTCGCATGCTCACAAAGAGAGATTCTGCAGATGCAGGTCGGGAGTCTCTGTGAGACGTCAAATGAGAACCGCTCGTGATAGATGTATTAAATTATGGTCTACGGCAGGCCGGTCTGGGCATTTATACGTTTCGCGCCGAGCAGATGAAAGTGCAGCGGGTCCCGACAGTAGGTTTATGCAGAAGTTGAATCATTCCTCTACACTCTACATCAATCGACTCATTTGCGAGCAGTCTCTCATACGTATCCCTCGGCGAGCCATAACTTGCGCGATTGCACAACAACGCTGGGGAGAATGGCAATACGACACGTGAGATTAGGGTCCGACCTACTCATATTGAACCCGTTGGAATTGTCGGTTGGCGTCGAAAATATGGACAGAGAGGCTCCCCGGAATCATTCGCAGGATTCTTTTTTTCCAAGGAGAGGAAGCTCGGATTTTCCATTTCCCCCCCTGGAACACACAGAAGAGAAAGCTCTTGGGAGTTTTTCTTCTCTGGTCCAAAGACTTTCCGAGAAACAGGCAAAGATTTACGCGCCGTTGAATTCATGTTGCTCATCCACTGCTTTGACTTTCAATGTGTTCCCCATGTGATCAGTGCCCGAGGGTATCGTGATCTATCCGCCCGCTCAGGTCCCGCAAGCGATTTTTCGAAGAGACAACGCCAAATGGATGGCCTAGGTTTAGCTTGCGTCGGTGATTTCGATGAGGTCTTACGACCGTGAGGGCTCAGCGAAGAGGGAGAAAACTCATCTCACGGCTCGTCCCTGGTATCGACAATGTTTCGGGAAGATAGTCGAGCGAGGCTCCTCGTGGAAGCGGGATTAACGAGCCACGATCCGTTATCTTGTCCCGGCACGTAAACAAAGCGGAGTGAGGCGTTCTCGCAAGAGGCTTAGTCCGATATGGTCACTGAGTGAGGGAGAGAGGCAGGTGGCTTCAGGCGGAGTATGTAAATTTGACTGACGGCCGCACATGGAATTTTCGCGTGCGTCCGTGCAACGCAGAAGCTCGACTACGACCGAGCAAATATTGAGAGGATGTATCCCGATTCGCATCAGGATCTGCGGACCTCGGCGTCGAGAGAACACTGCCAGGCCGAGCGAACGATCGAACAGGGTCCAACCCCGGGAACTAGTCCCACGTCACATTTCGGGGAAAGCGCGCCGAGAAGCTCATGCTCACGGGAATCGGGAGCGCACGGCTCCCACGACCCCGCGTATTCAGCGGCGATGATGATGGACGACGGAAGGCAATCTCGGAAAGCACTCGGAGTGGCGCCGGTGGCCGCTAATCAACGCAACCGGTCGACCCTGCCGGGTTCTTACCCAGGAGAGCAGTGAACCCGCTCGGCACAGCTGACGTGCGGAACATCGAGTGGAACGACTCGATTGTCCAGCGGGTCTCCGCGAGTGGATTCACTCGGAAGGACCACTCAAGGGGGGCTTCCGCTATTCGATCTCTCCAAAACAGCCTACGCTGTTTCGCAAATACTATCCGGGAGGATCGCAATCTCTAGCGCTGGGAGTTAGCGACCACGGGTTGAGCTCGACGAGAGACCCCGTTAGCGATGACGTCTCGGATTGGGAAGGACGGCATACCGGAGGCCCCGAGCCCTGGAGTTCATTACGTGAACTTTGCTTTCCCGACGAATGCGATCGATGACTTCGCGGTCGAGGCGCCGCCGGACCCTGGCTGAGTTGCGCAAAGTTTCCAAATCAAACTCAAACTACTCCAGGCGCTTCTGTTTCACATCTCAAAGACGATTCGTCGGGCCCGATCGGAAGCCATACGAAGTTTTGAAGTCGATCGCTTCGAGCTCAACGTCGCCGGTCGTTCGAATTCTGAAATCCCTGCAGAGAGGCGAAACATCCGCTTCGCGATGCTCTTCCGGAATTCCTACTTCTTGTTCAAGCTCTCGGCTTCACACCTCCGCAGGTTGGGTTTTATTCAGAAACCTCAAAGTGAGACTTCGCTGGATCGCATCGTTCCAGCGGGGACCAGCGAGTCTTCTCGCACAGGAGTTTTCTCAACTCGGGCCAGGGAACGGCTCAGACGGTCGCAACCTAATCCGCGTACTCTCTGCCGGCCTCATTCTTTCAGCTAGTTAGGAACGCTCGCTCCTTAAGTATCTGGAATTCGACCCACGGGGAAAGTGACCTGGCAGACCGACCCTTCGCTCGAGAGGATTCCCCAGCTTCCATCGAGTCTGGAGCGCTCCTCTCGACGCCTGCTAAGGCCCGAAACAATGTCCGATCTGAATGAACCTAAGTAAGTGGAATAAAAAAATGTTCCTATCGGGCTTCCCGAGCTTCCGGAATGTCTCGATCTCCCGCGCGGATCATCCGAATCGCAGTGTCTGTGAATGTTCTCAATTATTTATCCCTGCACCGATGTTGTGTACAGTAGCCGCCATATCTCCGCTATGGTAAATATAATCACGCGGCAAGAAATCTGGTTTCGTTTCTGATCATGAGTTTTGCTTTTGCTAAGGCGGGAACTCGTGTTGGGTTATTGCGAACCGTCGGGGGAATTAAAAATTGTTCTTGTTTGTGAACGCGTGCCGAGTCCTTGTTTGGGGCCATACGGCAGAGAATGCTCCGAACTGTGTAAGATCATCCGAGCATCAGTTCTTCATGATACACCTTCTTCCTCTTCAGTCGCTCCATGACTCGGGACATGCTGCGGCTGCTCATTAGCCGACGATGCAGCGTTCCAGTAGCATCGTATTGTCGGCCAAAAGCTAACTTGAATACGTGGGGGGCACCTGCCAGGAATGCCCGCATTCAAGGGCTTGTTTCTAAGGTCAGGGCCTCCTTGAGAAGCGGATCGCCCGAGGTAGATTCCTGAACTCGGCAGGAAGCTTGCGCAAACTTTGCCCCGACGCGGTCGCTTTGAGTTGCCCACGTAATGAATGGGGGAAGGGGGAATGTCGAGTTAAGAACCGGTTCATGATATGCGCTAACGTTCGCAGATGAATGGGCATCCGATGCGGAAGCTGAATCATCGTCAAGAAATTACGCAGCGGCTCGGGACGCTCGACGACGCCGGGCCGACATCGCCGGCGGGCGGCAAAATTCTGAATACTCTCATTTGTATTATTGTTGTTGGAAGCCAGGGGAGTTCATTGACCACCTGACATGAACTTTCCTCTCTCAGTGAAGGCCGAATCATCGCAACTGCGTGTCTTTCTTCATCATCCTTATCGTTCTGAACGAGAGAGCAAATGAAAAGACTCAATATTCAACGACTGCGCTTCCTTGCGAACCTTAGAGTGATTCTCCGAGCCGCAAATGCTTTCGCTTAATAACGTCGGCGCATGTCCGCTTATGCGTGGGCGTTGCGTCGCCTGATATCAAAATATTCACACAGGCTGATTCGGGAGCAGGTGGCCAGATTACCGGAGGGAATGCACAGCGAAGGATGCCGTCTGGATCGAAACTGCTCCGAATGTGCAGATTATGTGCTTCGCTCGACTCCTCTCCGTCGGAGCATGAAGATATTCCAGAAGCGATTCTCGAAGAATCGCTTTCGAGTACCGAAATTTCTAGCCGACGGTCGGGTCGAGTGGCGAAAACTCAATAATTTTCTTGCGTCTTACGGAGGCAGGCATTCGTACGGCCCCGGGTGTGAAGTATGCAACGGAGTTCACGCGGATTCTCTGGGAGCACAATACTCGCCCTGCCGAATGATGCTCTGGAGCGGAACACACTCACGGCCGTAACCAGCGCTTCCCGTCTGACGGATGAACGGATCTCACGCGGAATTTCCTCTCCGAAGCACTTGTGCCCCCGCGGAACATCCCTCGGGTGTTTGTCGTGCATTTTTATTCGACGATTTTTTATCAATTAGTGACTTACTGGCCGCAATCAACTACGGTCCTTCGACCCCACCGCGAATCCCCTTCGCCCACTTCTCGGAATCTGTTTGCGCATGGCCCGTGGTCAAGAGTGCCGTTTTTGCGTTCTCTGTGACTGCAGATTCTTCTTATTATAAGGGTTCCTTGAGGTCAGAAACGGGAGGAAAAATCACTCGAGGTCATGCTGCGAGAGCGATGACCGCACTAAATCTTGGGGGAAATTAGAAATTCCCGGCGAGTTTCTCCAGCAACCTCCATTCGGTACCGTTTGGAAGAGTTAATCCGATCTCACGGTTTCTTCGCGATAAAATCAATGCTGGAATTCCTCACCGGCTTCCACGCGCTAGCGTGGCCCCCGGAAAACTTCAACGGCTGGCCAGTGTCTCTTGCGAGTTCTTGCATCCGCTCAACCGGAGTTCTCTGAATCTTTGTTTTG